AAATTAAAGTATTACTCTTAAAACAAATCTCTAGCTTTTTTAGGGCAGTTATATTTTAATATTGCTCAGAGGAAGAATCTACAATATTTGCTGAAAAAGTTGCTTCCTTACAAGACACTCATTTATGGTTTCCCAACAGTTTTTAAAAATGTGCAAACTCAAACATTCTACTTCAGGTCATAAACAAACTCATGCAAGTATACCTTATTTTAAATATTTAAAAATAGGGTTTAAATTAAATTTTTTTATATACCTGAATAGTTATAATATGGCAGAAATCTATAAATATATTTGACCCATCTTTTTAAACTACCAATGATAAGCTGTTTGCTAAAATAAACTCCTTTAAAATATTATAACTTTGTTTTTAGTTTACTCTCCGTTAATTAGCTCTTGACTCCATACAGTTTTTTATAGCACCACTTAGAGGGACCTCTTCACAACATCGGAGATCAGTCAGGTCTGCAGGGAATTCGGTTTTCCTCATTCTTGATCAAATCTATAACTCATTTGCACACGGAACAGGCTCATAAACAAACCTCACCGAGGGAACAAAACATGCAACAGACTGAAATTGTTTCCCGCCGGCATAAATCAAGCAGGCCTTGAAGAAGACTTGTTTTTAATCTGAGGAGGATGTTGTGTATACAGGTTACACATTTGAGTGTCCTTGTAAAGAGATAGTGCCATAATTTCTGGTGTCGCCCACATTAATTGGGTCAGCAGCTGCAAGGAGCTTGACCTGCACCGTTGCTTGGCAACTATTAGCTGAGTGTATAGAGAAAATGTAAACCAGTATGGTTGTCTTTCCTGCTCTAGGGGAATTACTTAACAAGATCTGGAGCCTTTATTGGATAAATTCCCAAATGAAAGAAAAATGAAACCAGTCGTAAAATGACAGCATATAAAAGACAATTTATTGGCAGCACGAGATTGGACAGACATACAACATAGTAAGGTACCGTTTTGAAACAAATCAGTGAAAGCAAAAAAAATAAATTAAGTACAACTCATTCATGATTTTCCCCCACTTAAAATGTTTACACATTGTTGATTAAATTGTTGGTTTTAATTTGTGGCTTTTATTTTAAAACAATAAAAAAACAGGAAAGATAATCACAGAATGAAGAGCTGCAAAGCAATAATTATGCTAAATCAACCGACCCCTTCACAGAATGGCGTCTGTCAAAAACATGCATCTATGGACACACAATGTGCTCTATCAAACATTGACACAATAAAGGACCTAGCTTTAATGAGCTCCAGTATGGAGTGCCACACCAATATACACTGTCATAGTACTTTGCTATAATCTTTCAATTGAAAAAAAACACCTTGTTACAAACAAAAATCAAACATATGTAACATTAAATAATATATATACTTAATAAATACAATCTGTTATAATAATGACTTATTTTGGAGCCAGATCCCTTATTTTTTATGTTGATGGCAACTATGTCTAGTTTACTGCCATATTTTAAGCTGAACAGTGCGGCTAATATTCTGCTATCCTTGATTTGTTAAAAAACTTTGAAATAAAAAACATTTACTTCTGCTTTACATGTTCAATGGGATAAATAACATCATCAGATGACAAGTATTTATTTTTGCTTTAATCACAGATGGTAGTTATTGGTATTCCGTCAGTATTAGTGAAATTAAATTATTTCCCCAAGATGTTACTTTTCTATATTGAGTGGAGTTTCTATGAATTTCTTGTTAACAATAACAAATTTTAAAAAAACCTAATATGGTTCACTGTTTTGTGCCATCTATGCTGGTTTACTAAGAAAAAAAATACCTGCCTAAACAATTTAGATAATTTAGTTTTGTTGAACATCAAGGATTATCAAATCTCTGAGGATTGCCTTTCTTCATGCATTTCTGTTTTGAGTTTATTATTATTTCAATAACAATTTTGTAGTGGTATTATTGTTTTTTAGTACTTTTTTTTTTTAAATTAGCTGATTTTGAATTCAATTTTAATACTTTAAACACCACAAGTGTTTAAATTTTTATACGAATTAATCAGAAAATATATCATTTTTTTTACATAGAAAAATATATTTTGTTCCAATCCGACTTATCTGATGATTGATTTTTTTGTGCTACAGTGGAAAGGAAGGTGATATTGGAGCATCATCTATGGACAATTCAGGGGGGAAATAGGTAAAAAAACAAACAAAAAAAACCCAGTTCTGCTAGCTTTAACATGAAATAAAGGAAATGAACATCATACCCCATAGTTTGATATTGTGAAGATTTGGACCCAATTCCCTTGTGCATTTATGTAAAAAAAAAAAAAAAATCTTTTTTTTTCAATTCAATAAGTGTGCTTAAATTAAACATAGAATATTTAAAATTTGACATGACAGTAATATTACTGCAATAAAATATAATTTACTTTAACAGTATCATCGTTAGATTTTTTGTTGTTTTATTGACATTTTTCTTTTACTAGTCCTATTATCGAGTTTTTTTTTTATTTTTTCATAGTTGTGACGGTGGGGGATGAGTTGGCAGTATTCGTGTTTTCCTTTAAACACCATGGGGTGTGACTGTGTCCTACCACATTTAGTGTTAAAATCAGGACAAGCAAGACAGAATAATTCTACTATATTCCTTTTAGATTTAAAATACAGAGTTAATTGAAATCTTTGGTCACATAGTATTTTAAGTACTTGCTGAATTTTTTAACATACATGAGAAAACCTGTAACTCATAAATAATTTAATTCCTATTTGCACTTTAAAGGCAAAGAAATGACTAAGGGCACATTTTTTTGGACCGTCTCCCGCAGACATACATTACAAAGACATAATGTAGCACAAGGAAACTTTGAAAAAGACACCTTTAAAGCGACTGGGAAGATAAATACTGCTGCTATAAAATGAGTTTGGAGCAGCAGTATAATGTGCCAGCTGAACAATATTCAAAAATATACCAGGATAAAATAACGCTTCCAAAAACCTTCAAAGATTATTTAGACACAAAGAAGAACTGAGCTTTAAAGAAAAGAAAAAAAAGATACCCCTCACTTCAATAGCATGTTTATGCCAAGGGCAAGAAACCAACCTCCCGACTTGGTTGGTATTCAGAGAAAAGAGTAGGAGCCACATTTGCAATCATTGAGCGGCTTGTTGCTTTGCTATTTCATCTCTGATGATTGCATTTATTATCTCCCATCCTAATATCAAGTGAGGGGATATGAAAAGGTCATCAACATAGATTGATGCTGATAATCGTGTCATTCCAACAAGAGATATACATTTAAAATAGATTAAAAGCAACATAAGAGAATAAATAATAATGACAGAAGCGAAGGACCAAACGAGGCAACAATTGTCAGTTTGATAGGAGAATACAGCAGGGATTAGTCAAGCAGACCATAATTAGGACATCTTCCATAGCAGAAGGCTGTCAGTGTATAAACATTTGAAAAATCAAGGCACAATTGTAGCTGTAACACTGTTCCGACTAGGAATTTCAGAAGTAGAAACACTCTTTGATACTGTATAGGCACCCGTTAGTTTAACAGAAACTGAAGTAGATTATGAAAATCCAAGCAAGCACCAGGTCAATTAAAATATTTGCTTTATATAAGACTAGCTGTATCAGAACTAGTGCCAATATGGAGGCTTTATTAGAATAGGTTTTGGAAAAATATGACAGCACAAGGACCTGCTTTCATAAAGTCACGTAGCTTAAGACATCTATATTGCCAGGAATAAGCATATGTCAATTTATATCCTTTTCATATTTTTTACACGTTATCTATGTATTTTAAAACAGATTTTATGTGAAGACCAAATCATTAAACCATTATTATGTCACGTACTACAAAGAGGTGCCTATCCACCTAAACTTACAGGCCTAAAGGAGACGACAGTCTAAAGGCACAACCGTTAGCTATGAACTCTAAAAGCCTTGAATAGCTAGTCTTTAGAAAGCCATAAGAAGTCCTGTTTATAGTAGGGAACAGAGCAAACATGTAGATTTTGGATTACACACAAAATGCTACATATGGTGGAAAAAGTGACATATAACTCTCATGATGAGGCATGGAGTGGAAACATCATGCTGTGGGGATGTTTTTCCTCAGAAAAGACAGTGAAGTGAAGATTTATAGAGATACATACAGGACAACCCCATGAGGAAAACCCAACAGAGGCTGCAAAGCTTTAAGAATAGAGAAGAGATTAACCCTTCAGCTAAACAACCACCCAAAACATGTAGCCACATCTATAGATCTATATTAGAATGGTTTCAAAGCAACTTTATGTGCAATAAATGCCTGAATTTAATTTCCAAATCATTATTTATAAAACATTTTTAATGCTAGGCTCACACTGAATACGCCACAGCTGTGGTAGGAACCTGCTGCAAAAGGTCACTCACACTGAACGCTGGGACCAGGCTTACCCAGCTGTGACTCCAGCTGCAGAACCAGCACATGAGAGAAAAGGTTACGAGAGAATTCTTTGAGGATTTCTAGGGCAAAACTTCCGGTGCACATAAATATCCTTTTTTTATCCTCCAATAGCCGCCTTGTTTCTCTGTGTTTCTGTTTGGCCTTTTTGTTTCTGCTAGTCAAGTTAGAGTAGGTTGGTGGATTGATTTTATTCTGTATTGTTTTTCAGCTGGTGCCTAATATTTCCTGTTAGGCTTTTGAAATTGTTGCTGAGAACACTACAAATGTGCTTTTTGCAGAAACATTTTGTTGATGTGAACAGCCTCAGTAGCCGCACCCACGCTGCATCCTGGGTGATATGAGTGTGTGCATTGATCTGAATGATTTGGTCTCATTCTCTCTCTCTCTCTCATTCAACATTTACAATTCTGCACTACTTTGTGATGGTCTACTACACAAAATCCCAATAAAAGACAGATGTGTGTAAAAAAGGTTTAGCAGGAGGAAAACCTCTGCCACCCTGTGTAACAGTCTGAGGTCTTGATGGATTCTTTCTGCTTTTATTCGGCTCCTGATGTGGTTTTGTTTACGGTGAGAGTCTGTGGACATCAAACAAGACAACAGGCTCATCCTGGGATGAGCTGTCGATCACAATGCTTGGATGCGTCTCCTGGGTGTCCATTGAAATAGTCGAGTTCGTAGACGGTGTCGCTCCAAACTGAGGCCCCTCTACCGACAGGAGCATCGGTGTTCCCCATCGTTTCAGACTGTTGCTCATAGTCAGGTGTGTGTCCTCCGGGGTCACTCCCATTTCCTTACTATACTCCGAAGGCGACTTCCTCTTTATCCTCTCATACGTGCTGTCTTGGTTTTCTGGGAATGTCTCGCTGTCCTGAAAGCGCCCTAACAGCCAGATGAAGAAGCCAAAGAGAACGAACGCTGCAAGGCTTGGGATGAATGCCAGGCACTTAACGTCCAAACTGGCCCCAGTGTAACGGCTGTGCAGAAACATGTCCCGCTCCACATACGTCTTGTTGGTCATGGGGTTGATATTCGTGGAGCGCCACACATAAGTGAGAGTGCTATAGTTGAAGTCTGCCAGTGTTTCTGGCTCCTCCACTGTATAGATCTTCTCTCCTGGCCCAACATACTGCCCGTACTCGTAGGGCTTGTAGAAAATCTGGTTCTTCCACATGTTTAAGTCCAGTATGAGCACAAGAAATATAATGCCATAGTTGAACCACTTACCTGCAGAGAGAGAGATGTTAAGCATTAGTGGCATTACATGGGCATTTTTATTTTCTTACATCTTTTACATACATATATCAGTTTTGGGTATAATTGTTTCTTATTACTGGTGATCTAACTAAATTAAAGAAAAGTTTAATAACCTGTTATGCATGGTGATGGAGGCATTTTGCTTTTTTGTTAAATCTTAACAATTCTTGTCACGGCAACACAACAGCTTAATCTTTGTGTCATTTGATCATAAAACATTTCCAAGGACAGATTTGGTTTGTTTATGTGTGGAAGGTGCAACCTTCAGTCTTTAGTAAGCAGTTTATGGCAATTAAGAACTCAATTCATTAAAAACAATAAAAAAAAAAACAAGAACCCAAATCCAAATTAAAATCTGATTTAGAGTAAATAAAACCAGCGCATCAAAAATGTTTGACACTATTGAAAACATAGTATCTTTACTCCAAAATCCAGGTCTGTGCTAGAAAACGAACCATAAATCCTGCCAATTCTGTCAAGAGCGGTCAAATATTCATACTGAATCAAAGCTGTTTCAAATTCTGCCTTTATGCTTAATTTTAGAATTATATAAATAAGAGAAAATTAAAACTAAACCCAAATTTGTGAACATAACTCTGATAAAGGTGTAAAGGTCAAAGTCATTTTCTTTGGACGTTGATACTCTTCATTGAAAAAATGATCGAAGGACAAAAACAATGAATAAATGAATTAAAAATAATTTCAGTGATGGCCTCGTACAAACCTCTGACCGCTACTGTCGATAAGATTCACAAGGAAAACTCCAACAGAAAGGTCAGCCTCCACTGTCATGCATCAGGAATCCCTCTCACTTTACATTCAGCTCACACAGCGAGAAAGACAAATCCATTTACAGGTGCTACTTACAAGATCGCTATATTACCATGAGACAGCCATCTTCTCTGGATGACTGATAGCAGGCAAATGTCTCCCCAGGTATATATGACACTACTCCCTTTCTCTCCCCTCCCCAGATATGATGCTAATAAGCTTTTAGTTAAACCAATCACGTCCTGGTGTAGCCATTTCCATCATGCTTAATGGATATCCAACGCAATAGGGTTAACAACCTCTCCCAAAAATCACTGAGCGTTTGAAAATGTGCCGTTTAGCTCAGGAATATTTGCTTTTTTCCTGCTCTTGATGGAACACGGGAGGTGGGGGGGCAGTTGAAGGAAAGATTGACTCGTTTGCAGGGAACATCCAGAAACATAGATGTAGGAAATGATGAAAACACAGCTGAAGCATCTTTGGCAGTTGTGACACATGCATTATAAATGCCTGCTGTGGTGGTTGTAACAAACGAACCTTTTCCAAATTTGGGGGTGGAGCAGTTTCAGTTTTTAACAGGAAAATATGAAAGGTATTTCTTACTCATCAAATGCTTTTAACTTTTCCATTTTTGTCCTTTTTAAATGCGTGTTTGAAAAAGTTGGGGACTCCTTCCCTTGAAATTGACATAACTTTGCTCTTTAACAGCAGATTTGCCTGAGGGTACCTGTGATGTGAATGTGGTACTCCTCCTTAAATATACTCTTGCAGACAGGAAGCTTGACCTTCACATGTGTTGTTGACATTCCGGGCAAATTCATATCCAGGTCACCCATGAAGTGAGGAAACTCCCAGTCCTGAAAAAAAAATAAAAATCACACAAAAACAAGCAAATATAATCTAAATTAATCTCATTTGATGCTCTTAAGAATAGAAAAATCCATTCAAATAACATTGACAGTGAAAAATGTCAACCATGTATCATCCGTCATCGGATGCCGCACTGGAAGTCTCTCATATTAGCTGATATTAAGTCTCAGTGGAGTCTCTTCACACGCTGACTGCAGGTCAAACACGGTGTCGGCCGCTATGGAGCGGAGATCACACTGCATGTTTACAGGCTGCTGGAGTGAACCCGTGTGCAGTGGGACTTCAACATGTCAAAATACATCAACAGGCAGAACAAAGTGACATTTAGAGGCTTCTGATGCCCTGTGGTGTTTCCAAACTCCCTTTTTCTCCACACCCACAGTATGAGGCTGGTGACTTTCAAAGAAAAGCTGCCAGTATTCATACCAACGTGATTCACAAATCTAAGAAATAAATCACTCCCTGTGTGGTTTTAAAGGTGTGCAGTCAAGAGTGGCTCAATGTGGCATTGAACTCCTTATTTTGGCTTAGATACACAGTGTAGTGGGATTAAAACGGCATATCTATAGCATACACTGTACTACAGGATGCATAATCTTTTTTTCCTTCACTTAGTAAAAATATATTGAATTGTAAACTGCCTTGAGATGACATGTATTGTGAATTGGCGCTTTAAAAATATAAACTGAATTAAATATATAATCTATCCATGCTGTTTTATATAGTTTTCAATAGCTGAAAGCAAGTTTTCATTTAGGTAGAATAAATGTGTTCCTTTTTTTAAACGTATTGATTACTGAGAAAAAAAAAAAAAACACCTGTTTAGAACTTAAGAAAAATATGTTGAAATCTGAAGCAACTAAATGCAAAATTATCAAAACTGAAACACTGAAAATTGAAAAACTTCTAAAGTCATAATGTTATAAAGCAACTTATAACACTATTTATGATAACTACAGGGTCTCTTTTTAACCACATTTTTATTGGATAATGGACAAAATATATTTTTAATGGAAAATAAAGACATTGAAACAATAATAATAGAAATCCCAGAGAAATTATGCTGTCATTGCTTTAGTCTTATGATGTTTAAGCAAAGGATGCCACAGGCTGCAAACCTTCCAGCAATTACCTTATCAGAAGCTATGCTTGCACATGGAGGGAAGAAGATAGTTATTTTACACATTTAAATTAAATTCTGCTCCTTCTTATTTTTTGTTGCATCTAATTTATGCAAATATGCAGACTTTAGGTAATCAGGAATATGGTATACCAAATAGCAACAAAACTTTAACAGTACCGTCATAATCTCAGTAAAGGCTTCAATAATAACTTTTTTATGCAATATTTATTACAGTTCTATTATCCAATATTTATAACATGCTTGGTTTTAAAATATGCCTCCCTTTCCTCTTTGGCTAGCTTTACTTTTACAAGGTCTCTTTTTTTTAACTCTAAGATTGGAGGATCTTAATCTGCACATGAATCTAGATGTTTAAAAACCTCACCGGCTACCCATTTTATATAAACCAATCCACTGCATTTTTTAAAAAAAACAAAACAAATGATGACGGATGAGAATTATGAACAATAATAAAGGAAAATAAAATCCAACTACAGAAAAAAACTGACAGAAAATTAAAGAAAAATATTGTTAAACGTAAAGAAGCAGCCTGCCATGACTATGCCACTATTCTTGAATCCATCTGCAAATCAGGTCATGTCATTGTAACATGGAAGATAAACAAAACAGAAATGAAACATAAAAATAGACAATAGCATAAAATAGACATTTTTATGGGCTTTACTGATACCTTATCTCTTCCTAAAACTATGAATCTTTATGAAGAAAATAACAATGATGTATCAACATATCCTTCTCATAAATAAATATGCACAGGATTCCACCAAAATACAAAGAAAACTTAGGTTCATTTATGAAATAGGTGGGAAAATGCAAAGAAACATCAGCAAACATTCAATTAAAAGGGCTAAAAGACCGCCTGGAGCTCAGTCAAGGCAGGACATTAATTGGCCTGAGAACACCTCCACCCATTTTTCTCATGGATAAGCTTTGGCACTGCTCCAACATGGAGGTGAAGGAAGCTCTCAGGAGGGCTGTGGCAGGTGAATTTGTATTGACGGATAGAACGCAGTGATGGCTCCCGGTGCGAGGGCCCCCATAACGGCAATAGCTGGCTCACCTCGTAAATTACTGCAGTAAATGTACTTGCTGTACACTGTGCAGGAAATGAGAAGAGCTGGTTGTAAACAGATCGCTCCGAGTGGAGAGTGATATACAGCCAAAGGGGGAGGACTAAAAACCTCCAGATATCTGCATCCTTGTGAGGGTGTTTTGTAAACGGAGCTAGTTCAACGCATCTGCATAATCACAATCATTTGTTAAATTAATGTGGAAAAGACCAAAGTCTGAAGTAATTAACAGCCAGAGCAGCCAGCAGCCCTTTCTTTAGATATTATTATTTTTTTTTTTTATAAATAGAACCTAGAAATAGTTGTAGAGATCTAATACATATTAACATGGGAAATATACTGGTGACCTTGCCGGCTTTTTTGGGAGTGGTTCATTTGTAACACTATGACATGTCCTCCCATGAAAGTTCTTGCTTCTGTAATTAGCACAACAAACAGACCAGGGATTTATATTTAAGTACTAACAAACATTAGCCTTGCAGTGTGTGTATCTAGTGTCTTCTAAAGATTCTGCATGAACTCTGTTCCTTAAGTGTTTGGATGTGCATTATACACAGTCTCACACCATGTTATTACTGTTGCTGGTTAGCCTCATCAGACTTTTCTCATTTTATCATTTTAGAATCACAACCCTGGTTATATTCTAT